CATGTATTGTGAAAACTGAAAAATTTAAGTATTGCATTATCATATTTTTTTATATTTTGCACACCTCTACACCTCTAGTTAGCCTTTATAGCTTATCTAGCCAAGGAAAACTAACATTCAAGGTGGGCTAATGGTTTAGCTAAGGTAGCCAGTAAAGCTACCCTGCTGAAAATAAGATATTTCATGCTGGTCTAAGCTGGTCTATGATGGTTTGTGCTGGTCTGTTTCTGGTTTAGCTGGTCACCCCAGCATGGTCATGCTGATTGACCAGCATACCAGCATCCAAACACAACATATTCTGTTTTTTTCTGACCAGCCGTGCTGGTGTAAGCTAGTTTTTCGAACAGGGAAGCAAAATCTTGAGCATGTTCTTATCACTACAGATGCAGCACTCTTAGCATTTTCAGTGTTCTGTTAAAACTGCATTTGACATCTAAACTTGCACAAGATGCCACTAATGAGGCTGATTTTCTTTCTCTTGGTTTCCTTAATGCTCCAAAAGCTCTGAACTCAAAACCAGATGTTGCCAAGGCCCAAAAGTCCAGCTATGAACTCTGACCTCTTACATTCAATTAGCATTTCTAACACCTCTGTCCGTCATCATGGCTCCTGGTTCGGGTTTCGGGTACACAGAGCTAGTGCTCACACTGGACGGCTCATATTACTTAAGTCTAATAACTGTATTATGTTGAAATCAGCAGTTTGCACTTTGTTTTTAAAGGTAACTCTCAGTTTGCCGTTTTACAGTGAACGCTGTGGGGTTGTGGTTTTGAGATATGGTTCATATTCATCATAGGCTGTTAAACAGTCACTCAGCTGATAAAAAAACTTCAGGCTGTGTGGTCTCAATGCGTAGACCCCCGAAGCTTTTTACACAGACCTTTCTAGAAATGCCCAGTTTCAGCTTTGCTGCTCTTTAAATGTCCGATTAAAAAGCCGTGATTTTTGGGCCTCCATGCATTTAGACCACACAGCCTGCAGCTTTTTCAGCCGTCACATGTGCAGGAGGAGGAAGGCTGCTCCGAATTTTCCATCCATTATTTGAGAGAGGGAAAAAAAAACAACATGAAAGAGCCTCTCTTTCCGAACTAACGGGTCTCCTACTTGGCGCCCTGTGTGAGGAGAAGAGCTAGTTTTTCTCGAGCCAAGCCTGCACTCTCCACAGCCTGTAATGAGCCGAGCACGTTTTATTCCGGCGTTTTTATGATCCGAGCAGGGAGCTGCTAGAGTCCGCCCTAAACCCTTTCGGTGCCGGAGAGTCAGCGGCTGCACCCTGCGGCCAACAGACCACTTTACTCTTTATTCTTAGCTTACAGAAGAGTTACTGAGCTAAGTGCTGGTAATATGACCTCAAACAAAGGCCTGTTACCCCTAGCGGTGTAGAGTCGCTATGCTTTCGATCACATACTTACGATTTTTTTCCAAAATATTTGTTGTTCTACTTACAAACACAAAGCTGGTATGGTGTGAAAGCTCAGAATCTGCACTTTCCAAAGAACATCTCAGCTTATCCCAGTGAGCTATGAGTCAGTAACGATTAAACAGAATGTAAGAAGAGGCCTAAACACTGGGCAGGGTTAAAGAACCAGCATCATAAAGAGAAGCAGAGGGACAGGCTACTAGGAGGAGACGTGGAAGGCAGCACAGATGACCACAGATGTGACCGTAATTGGGCCTTTGACGCCAGACTCAGGAGACACTCTGGCAGTGAAGGCGGCGACCTCATATAAACAAAGGTGATCAGGTTACGCACAGGCTTCATTCCTCTTTCATTACACAAAGAGCTTTTACACAATAAGCACAGCAGCAATAACAGAGAACAAAAGCTGAAAGGACGGAATATGTGGTCAGAAGTTCCAGGTCAACAGGGCAACTGAGTGCTGCAAATTCCTGAATCACAGACCAATCAATAAAGTATCCACTGATCTAAGGGACTGGCTTGTTTTCCTCTTCTTCTAAACTTGATGAGAACCAGTCCATCCCAGTCAGATCAAATAGAATCTTTGTTTCTGGAAAAATACTCTCACTGGCCACTTTATCTTTTGCTGATGGCGGTTGTGTTAGCCATCCTCTAGTCTTTCATCAGAAGTCAGTTTCTGGATACACTAGCATGTGTAAAAACCTCAGAAACACTGCTGTGTCCATAACTGGATAACAATGAACTGCTGTCTGTAATTGTACGCCTATATAGTGAACCTATAAGGTAGGCAGAGCTCATAAAGTGGCCAGCGAGTGGAAGCACAATGTGGGTGTTTCTAATAAAGTGGCCAGCGACTGGAAGCACAAGGTAGGTGTTTCTAATAAAGGTAGTAGAGTGGACTGAGTGAGTGTATATGCAGTCCTATAGAGAAACACCTCACCCTGGAGCGTAACAATTTTTCACACAGAAAAAAATGATACACCCATTTCCCACGGGGATCTTCCCAATCGCAACTCCTGTGGGCTCTGGTTTCAGGCGCACAGCTTTCTCTGCATACAAAGCAAAAGCTTGAGGCCACAACCCAACACGACCTTTTCTCTGTACTCGGCGAATCAGCTGTGGCCCAGCTTTCGTGTGCTCCACCTACGAGAGCTCTGATGGCCGACTGACATATTTACAGCTTGATGACAGACAGGTCCTCAACCCACTTCAAACAGCTCTTCTGAAGAGGCACTCACAGTTTCCAGCCCTTCACGGTGGTGGAAGATCCAAACTCCATAACTCAGCAATGAACAGTGCCACAGCAGAACCATCACACTGTTCAGATTCATTCACTGACTGTGAGTAAGTGAATATATGTAAATCCTCATAGGTGCCCCAAGCTGTTTACCACTTACACTGTGTGGAAGGTCAATGCCATGACCATACAAACATTACCCTGAGGAAAAGCAGAGGAACAATATGTTTGTCATATTCAAATATTGAGCAGTACTGAAGTGAGTATTAGAGAAAGCCTTCCTCCTCGGGTTTATGATGCTGGCACCATGGCGGTGAAAATATGTGGCCAAAACAGTCCAACTAATCGAAAATAATAAGATTTCAAATGACCAACCTGAATGATATGGTCATGTTTGTAATGCTGCTCCTCCTGGAATATTCTTTCACATGTTCTGGGAATGTCCCGAGATCCAAAAGTTTTGGAATGACATGAATTCTGTTTCATCTGGTTTATTTAAAATTAACGACAAATCTAATCCATGTTTATGTCTAATATTCAAATCTAATACAAAGTAAAATGGTCTTTGCTGGATTTACCGTAACTAAGAAAACAATCTTACAGGATGGGATTACACCAGGATTCACATGCAGTCGTTCTGGATATCAAACTAATGCCCGGCCCACACTACAGGACTTTAATAATCCTAACTGATGTTGGAAACATCCGAATGAAAGGCCACACACTTTCAGATTATACACACCAAAGAGAGTCCCGGAGCAATGGTTCCCATTCTCAAAACCCCGCGGGATTACTCGCAAACTAACGTGAATGTAAAATTTACATAAAACGTACCGCAAACTATAGATTTTATACCAAAGCCGGACATTTAACTGTATTCAAACAGCTCAGGCCCAGCAGGCCACTGACCTTCAGCACTGCAGCCTCTAATCTCAGCCTCACAGTCCAGACATGCCAAAATAACACTCTGCACACACGACATACACAGAGGAGCTGCTAACAGTACACGCTGAAACAGGGTTCTCCAAAGGTTCTTTAGTATAGGGAGAGGTTCTTAGACCCATTAGTTCTATTTAGAACCATATACATGCTTAAATGCATGGTGAAATAGTTCTTCAGATTGATGGAGAATGGGTTGTATATGGTTCTATATAGTACCAAAAAGGGTTCTGCTATTGTTACATGCTTGACATCGTAACAATAGAAGAAGGTTCTCTGCATGGTAAAATGATTGATTGGAGAATGTGTTATATACAGTCCTATATAGCACCTATTTGAAGAAGCATTTCACTATGTAAAGAACTATGGTTCTAAATAGAACCAAAGCACCCTTGAAGAACCGTCTTTTTTCAATCCCCTGAGTTCTAACCATGAGTTCAATGTAGATGTTCAATGTTCTGTATAAAACCATATAAATCTTTTATACATTCTCCATCAACCATTTCACCATGCAAAGAACCTTGTTTCATTGTTACAACGTCAAGCTTGAAACAATAGCAGAACCCTTTTTTGGTGCTGTACAGAACCACACACACAACACATTCTCCATCAACCTGAATAACCATTTCACCACGGAATGGTTCTATACAGAACTCATGGTTCTAAACAGAACCATCCCCCTTTACAAAAAAAAACATTTTTCCAGAGTTCTAACCATGAGTTCACTGTAGAACCTTTTCATACTTAAACGGTTCTTTGCGAAGAAACTGTTCTGTCTAGAACCATACGAAAAACATTCTCCATCATGCAAAGAACCTTCTTATATCATTATAACACCAAGCTTGTAAAAATAGCAGAACCCTTTTTGGAGCTATATAGAACCATATACAACACATTCTCCATCAAGCTGAAGAACCACTTCACCATGAGATACTTCTATACAGAACTCATGGCTCTAAATAAAAGCATTTCTTTTAGTAAAGCACACTGGAAGAACCATCTTTTTTTAAAGTGGCCAGCATATGTGAACACTTTCCACAGACAGCTGGAACCCAGAGAGAGCAAGTTAGAGAACTCTGGAATGATCCACTTCTTCTGCTCCAAGCTGGTCCTCATTATCAGAACACAGAGCAGAGCTGCGGTAAATGAACACCCTAAAGATCCTTACAGAACCTTCCTCACTGACAAAGCAAGCTGGCTTCAAATCCCACAGCTTCTTAGAAGAACTTTCCGTTCCACCTTAAATGGTGCAGCCTCAGGCCCCAGAATGGAACTACTACACCATTTAAGGTGGAACGGAAAGTTCTCATAAGAAGCCAACTTCAGCCTCTGCCAAACTTTGTGTGTGTGTATGTGTGTGTGTGTGTGTGTGTGTGTGTGTGTGTGTGTGTAGCTCTGACTCACCAACTTTCTGCCTCGCGCAGCTCCTCTATTGTGAGCAGAGCTGAAGTTTCTCAGTCTCCTGCCCCTATTCACACAAGCCCCGCCCACTGTGCTGGGAATGCTTCATAAAGCCACGCCCCCTGTGCTGGGATAGGCTGATAAAGCCCCGCCTACTATGCAGAGACTGGATATAGGGTCACACTCACAGGAAGGCCTACAGGCAAAGAACACTCCTCACTTCAAAAAGGAATATATTTTTGTATACATTTCTGTTGAAATTGTAAGAGTTTTTTTAAATGTAGGAACTTCTTTTAACCTGAAACTATCCAGTTTGCAGTAGTAAGAAATTTTTGGACTTTGTGAAAGTTCGTAATTGTAGAAATGGTTCCTCCTGTTACACTGAACTAGAAAAAGGCATGAGTTCATACTGGTGAGAGCTGAAATTGTACCCAAATATAACTCTTAGTAGGCAAATTTGAATTTTTGCATGTTAATGCGGCACTCTTGGGCTTGTTGTGGAGTGTAATTCACGTTTACACCACTGTCGTAAATACAAATCACGCTTTGAGCGCCCCCTCATGGACAGCTACACATGTGCATTTGTTGACAAGCTGAAGGATACAGAACCGGCAAAGGCAACATCAGATGTGAGAAAGGTGAGAGCCAGGGATTGATCCAGTTTGATCACTGGTGATGCTACAGCCGTCCATGGCCGAGAGTCCAAGACAGCACAGTTGTCCTCGCTCTCTCTGGGTGGGCAGGACGGCCCTCCGTCTCCCCATCACTCAGCGTGATGCTAGCTGGCGCAGGCGTATGTTAGCTGACGTAACAGATCTGGCAGTTAGTGTCACCTCCGAGTGTGTTCTACTGTCCAGTGACACTGCGTTAGTTTGATAAGATGCGGAGGAGCTTCACAGGACTCAGAGGAAGCCTGTGTTTGCCTTTACCCTCCTAGCGCTGGTGGTATCATGTAACCATGTAATCTTGGGGAAGACTAACTAGTGGATGGAACTGGATACGAATAAATTAGGGAGAAAATTGGGGGGAAAATCCCCCCAAAAAAGTGAGAGAACCATTTTGACTGACATGCAAGTTGACAATGTTGCTAAGAAGGATGGCTCGGCATCTGTCCTGCGTCCTTTTATCTCTTTTAGCTCTTGCCAATGAGTAAAAGCCAGTGCGAAATTTACTTTTGTCCAAGGTGCGAAAAACAGGGGATCCTGGGGGGTCCGGGACCCCATAATTAACCTCATGAACCTCCTAAATGTCTCAAAATCAAAATTCCGGGGGTTCCTTGAAAATAAACTACATAAATAAGTTAAAATTCTAGGTTATGAAGGACCAACTGGGTGAACGAGTCTGCTACAGCGCCACCCTGAGGCAGAGCAGTGCTGCAGCTCTGATTAGTTAACACCAAAGACAGAAGCTGACTGTGGGTGAAGTGTTTGAGTGTCTGTTTTTCCCTAATGGACAGTATAACGTCATAGCTATCATCACAGCCTAGCTATGCTGTCCGTTTGAGTGAAATAGATGCTCAAATACAGATTCAGTGAAGCTCATTGTTTATCTGACCCACCCACAATCGGCAACTCCCAGCAGCTCACACACACACACTAATGTGGACGGTCCTGGGCCCTGTGAGGCTGGTGCTCAGCCCGCTGACCCCACATTCCTATCATATTAGATGAAGCAGAAACACTGAGCCCCCCATGACCCTCACAGTCTGTATGAGATATTAATCTATTATCTGATCTGTTATTTCAGACGAGCTTCATTTGAATATGTATATCCAAACTCATCTTTCAACAACTTCATACAGTTTATTCAGAACTCTGTGAAGGGTAAGTTCACCCTATTTTAAATTTCAAATGTTTTCAGACACAGAACTGCAGTGAATGCAGGAACATGTAAAATATCTGAAAGCTTATTGAACATTAAACACAGACTGTAGTCCATCTGTTTCTCTATGTACTTTGTTACCCTGTTCGTCAGTGGTCAGGACCCCCACAGGACCCCCACACAGCAGGTATTATTTGGCACTGACGTGGTGGTGGTGTGTTAGTGTGTGTTGTGTTGGTGCGAGTGGATCAGACACAGCAGTGCTGCTGGAGTTTTTAAACACCTCAGTGTCGCTGCTGGACTGAGAATAGTCCACCAACCAAAACTATCCAGCCAACAGCATCCTGTGGGCAGCGTCCTGTGACCACTGATGAAGGACTAGAGGATGACCAACACAATCTGTGCAGCAGCAGATGAGCTATCGTCTCTGACTTTACATCTACAAGGTGGACCGACAAGGTAGGAGTGTCTAATAGAGTGGACAGTGAGTGGACACAGTGTTTAAAAACTCCAGCAGCACTGCTGTGTCTGATCCACTTGTACCAGCACAACACACACTAACAGACCACCACCACGTCAGTATTACTGCAGTGTCTGATCCGTCTTCTCCCTATTCACACTGTTCTAGAATCTTATCCCCCCTGTTCTAGGATCTTCTCTATATCCACACTGTTCTACAATCTTCTCTTCATTCTGAATGTTTTTAAATGTTCTACCCATCCACAATGTTCTATAATGCTCTCCTCATTCATAGTGATCTAGAACTTCTTTCTCTATTTACTCTGTTCTGGCGCTGATCTTCCTTTTCACTCTGGAGAGATGTTAACGCAGCCCACTGTGTGTTTGTTGGGGTTTTAGAGTCTCAGAGCAGCTCCAGACCAGCTTTCTCACAGATTTGTAAGGTTGAGCTCCTCAGATTTCACGGCGGTTGTTGGGTCGAATGGAGGATGATCCTAATCTGTTTCACAGATAGCAGGAACACACACACCCTTGTTTGGAATACCAGTCTGGAGTAAGACTTATGAGCTTACAGATAGAGTTTCCTGGAGCCGTATCCACGCAGACTCGACCCATCAGGGCGCACGCGTTCTTCTTTCATCACAGCCGTGACGGCATTCCCCTCAATCCTTCTACAACAACTTCAGAGCATGAGGAAGTCCCGATCTGGGATTTCTGCCCCGATCCCAATACGAGTCCTTTAGTATATAGAATCTGCGGATTCTGGTTCTCGATCTAGATCAGCATTCCGTTCCTGATCTGCGGTCAAAACACTGACATTATACTTTAAACTTCTTCCACACTGCAGACATGTATTATTATTAGTCCTAAAAGTGCCAATATCATAAAAAATATAAAATAAGACTTTGATAAAGTATGTAAACATTGTTGAAGTTTCAAACCACTAATTTTTACAGCAGTTAAGCCCCACCCATTCAGTCTACAGCAGTTTAGCCCCACCCATTCAACTTACTGCAGTTTAGCCCCACCCATTCAACCTACAGCAGTTTAGCCCCACCCATTAATGCTGAAGTTTGTATGGAGCGCTTCAGCACGGACTGCTTTTTGAATGAAGCACAATAAAAGACAGCCAATCAGAACAGAGCTCAGTCATAAAATGCCTGTTTGCTTCTAACAGATGAAGAGAGGATGAAAAACGATGATATATAAAGAAATTAGCAAAAGCATATAAAGCTACATAAGCATCAGTGCAAGAAAATGGACTGGAACTGGATCAGGTTTAATATAACATACACACACATGCACACGCGCACACACAGACACACACACACACACACACACACACACACACACACACACACACACTTTTCCACACCGCTTATTGTTCTGGGTTGCGGGGGGGAATTGAAGCCTATCCCAGCGGTTATTGGGTGGAAGGCAGGAAACACCCTGGACAGGTCGCCAGTCCATCGCAGGGCAGAAAGACAGACAGAAAGACAGACAGACAGACAGACATATACATTCACACACACACTCACACCTAGGGGCAACTTAGCATGTCTTAATATAACACAGTCCATTCAAACTAACCTTCACCAGTTCTGTCATCAGCCTTTAAATCAGATCTGGACCGCAGCTCTCCCCTCCCACAGACCAATTTAGGCTCATATTAGAGCAGCCCTAAAACTGATCTGGAATCAGATACACGGCTCATCCCTGACCCACAGCTGAAAAAACACAGCGTGACTGAGCCTTCCACAGCCGGGTCACCCAAAACACCCTCACCATCTCCAGCTGCCCACCTCACAACCCAGCCTGTTTATTACACCCCGTCAGAAGAGCCGGGGGAGGGGAGACTGAGGAGGGTAAATAAATACATCTTTCCCTTAGGGATCGCTAAATCGCTTAAGACTCTATGTAGTAGGGGGCGCTATACCGGCTGAATGTTTTTTAAGGTGTTAGTTTAGTTATTACTGTTATACCGGCATGCAGATAAATACAGAAAACACAACATTCAAACAGGTCAGAACACGCTGACTCCCTCACCTCTCGTGTACTGAGCTGCTGTCTGAGGTCAGTTCGTCCAGTTTATGGTCAAAGGTGACTGTATAATATATATTGATCATTTCTGTTTTTACTGTTTCACCCAATGAAAATATTTTAGATTTACTTCAGCTGTTACTAAATATGGTTCTCATTAAAAGTGAAGGAACATCCAGAATAATATGGCATCATTAATCTACTAAAAAAGGTTGCTTAAGCATCCAAAATGGTTATTTTTGAAATAATATGCATAAATACACTATTTTGTCATATATACTGAAATCTCAATTATGCTGTTTTATAAACTTTTGCCCATACCACCCACTACTAACAATATGTAAATTGGATTTTTCTTTTTAAAATGAATATAATATGGATTTAAACAACACACACAGCTTTTCTCTGCCCTTCTCGCTCATCTTTACTGAGAATGCTGATAACTCTGTACCTCCTGATTGTGGCCTCTAAACCAGAACTATGTGAGATCAGCAGTTTCTCAGTGTCCCACACAACTTCAACCAGTACAGCAACGCTTAGATAAGATGACCTTTGACCCTTCAAAGAGGAACAAATAGAAGTGTCATCTGGCTGCTGAAATTCCAGGCATGCACAGTGAGCCTTCGACACATTCCATATATCCTCTCAGTCTGCGATAAGATAACCAGCACACAGTCTGAGCACCTCTCAGAGCTCTGCAGGCATTTCCCTCATCAGTGTGTGTGTGTGTGTGTGTGTGT